GTACATATTATTCAGGAACATTTACTAATGCAGAAATAAGATGGGAAATAAATAGGAAAGAATTATATTCGGTATATAAATATTTATTACCATTTGAACTGTATATTGTATATAACAAATTTATTATAAGAACAGATAATACACAAGTAAAATGGTGGCTAACAAGAAAAATACAAGATTCGGTAACAACAAAAGAAATAAGGAGATTGATATTAAATATATTAAATTTTACATTTACAATTGAAGTAATAAAAACTGATAAGAATGTTATTGTAGATTACCTATCACGACAAAACTACTAAGACTGAGACTGAGGAAGAAGATACAATTGAAAGGATACTCAAAGTCATTACTACACTTTGTACAAAAGTGGATAGTATGGACAACGAGATACAAAAGCTAAAGACTAATGAAGATAATCTGAAGTCTAAAGCTAGTATAAGTCAACAACATGACTATAAAAATGCGGAGCTATGTCAATCGGAAGACAGAAAAAATCCAGAGCTAAAAGGTGACGTTGGTAAACACCTAAAAACTCATAACATTTGTTTAAATACAGTTGCAGGTACAAGCCAACGAGTTAGTGAAAAACATAAGAATTCAAACTTAAACCAGTTATTCGAAAAATCATTTACCCCGAGGCTAACACCTAAAAACACATTAATTATAGAACCACAAACTTCTACATATGCGGATAGCCTACACCATGACAAAAGAACATATAGCCATATTACGCGAACCTATATAGAAAATATATACAAAATCCAAACATTTTTAAACCTTAAACCCAGATCTACTACAACCCAAGAACCCAACCAGGATTATTTAACTCAATAATTACAAGGTTATAATAAACTGATTGCACATTTGAAAACTAACGCCAACCTAGTAAGGACATGTTACAACTATGGACTATTAAATACAGTATATACATATGACGGAGAGGAACTAAGTGGAATATCGGAACTACATAAAGCATTTATTACATATAACAGAGTTACTAAGGAAAATTTATTCTATGTAAAATTTTATACGGCAACAACAGAGATATTATACGAGGAAATAAAACCTCCAACACAAGTGGTAAAGATAGGACTAACAAAATATATGATAATACCGGAAGATATCGAACAACAACCAGAGATACAAAAAAGCGAGATACCCAGTTTTTATGTCAATAAGAGAATAATTGGTATATCAACCATTATACAAGAGCTAGTAAATAATTATTTAAACGGAAACACTATATGGAGCTACTATGCAAGAGATCACTTAATGATTTATTCCAATTCAAGGGAGCTAAGGAAATTAGATATGGATGAAGTCCATAGATGAATTTATCATTACTTAAGACAGAAGAACGCCCTACAACACGAGCACTAAAAATAGGATTTATTTCGGCAGAGTTATTAACCAGATATTACAAGCTAATTGGTCACAAATATCCTGACCACATATGTTCGAAATGCAACGGAGAAGATAATATAATTACAGACGTCCAGCTGGAATAAGAGATAAAGATGGAAGCCTAAAAGATAAGATAAGAAGATTATGAGAAGATAAAGATGAAGAAAAAGAAAGCATATGGCAAAAGTAAATAGTGTTAATATGTAAAAAGTCATGAAAGTGTGTCATAAAGTAGGTGTATTATATATGTTAAAAGTCATAAAGTGTGTCATTGTGTCATAAAGTAGGCAGATGTGTCATAATGTAGATATAATATATTATATTATATATTAGGCACATTATTAAATAGTAGGTGTACGTGTAGTATTAAGAAGGATTGTAAAGTAAGAACTTCATTTCTATATAAAGAAAGGTGTATGCAAATGAAAAGGCAGGCAATGCCTAATATATAAAACTCTCTCAACTAAAAACTAATATTTTAAAAGATAATGGAGCAACAATCTGAAATCAAATCAGATATTTCAGATAGCATGAATAAGCAAGAGGCAAAGGTATATTGTTTAAAAAATATGTGGAACTAATTTCATATATTCCTGAATATCATATATATGATTGAATAAATTTATGTTAGTTATTATGTATTAGAATTATTTGAATCATGATTTCTAGTTTATTAGCACACTGGAAACATGGAGAAAACTTCTATACTATGCCATCCTAATGTTGAAACCGGTAGGCAAGGAAGCCGTTTAGGGGAGTAAACAAAGTTGAGGCGCTGATAAGAAAGAAGTATCCACTAAAGTACGATGCTAGTAGTGATAGGAGAACATAATAAATAGATAATCTAGTTCATAATGATCTAATATGAATTTAATCAATTATGAATATGATAGGAAGGAATAATTTAAAATAAAAAATCTGCATAACAACGAACATGACCACATACATGCATAATGAAATGATAAAACATTACGAAACTTTAATCCTATATATACTTAAAAATATAGAAATAATTGAATTAAGAAGAATAATATGGGAAAAAATAATTGAAGATAACGAATCAGAAGATAAATTGAACCAAGAATGGTATGAAATAGACCTACATGATTTAGACCTTGAGAGAATAGAATGGTATGATTTAGAAATAAATTCAGATTAAAATGAACTACGAATATTTACAATATTGATAGAATCTATGGAAGATATAAAACTATTAGAACAATTAATGGAGGAAAATTTATATATGTACCAAAGAACCCAAGATATGTTATATCTAGAATATATCATAAATAATATTAATGAAATATTCAGATTAAAATAACTATCAGAAGAATATTACAATAAATATTATTATATTTTACCATGAATTTTGCCCCTAATATTAAAGAAATATCAAGATTAAGACACTTAGCAAAAGAATATTATAATAAAATCTTTAAAATAAATTATTCACCTACTACACTACCACCTTCCACACTACCACTTCCATGAATTCCTCAACTACCAATTTCGCATCGAAAAATGGTATCAGAGTCTGAAAAAGGCTATGTGTTGAGAATGATGATGCAAATTTCCTTAATGTAACCTTTATTGATTGATTGATGAAATGCCTGAAAGCATGAATGTGGACTTGAATTATGCAAATTGTTGTCTCTTCTATGTGATGTAATATTGCTTGTGTGCTTTGATCGTTGAACACCGCAATGGGACATATGATGAGTTATTATTCCGAGGTCTTTGCCAGCAAGTGTTATTATGTCTAGGTCTTTGCTGGCAAGTGTTATTATGCTGAGGTCTTTGTCGGCAAGTGTTATTATGCCAAGGTCTTTGCCGACGAGTGTTATCATGCCGACGTCTTTATCGGCTAGTACTGATCATTGTGGCTTGATACACTACTTGACGCTTATGCGTGACTTACTTGTGAATTCGAATTGACGTGCTTGGTATGTGTGACTTATTTGACTTGTTCGATTGTTGATTTGAAAAGCTTGAACTGTGAGTATTGGGCATGTGAGTAGTGTATTCTAGAATTGTTAGGTTGGGCTGATTTCTGTGCAAGTTGTAGTTTGAGGAGGTTCGGTTGGAGTGCAAGGGGTATTCAATTTCTAGCTAGTTGCTATGTTTAGCAGGTTCCTTGTTTGGTGTCGTGATGTTAGTACTCACCCTTGCTTCTACTCTGTGTAGGTTCCTAGCTCGGACCCGCGTGATCTCTTTCTTCTTCTATTAAACTCGAGGCTCGTCAATGAGTTGAAGAGGTAGCTGCTTGTCATTCGGTGGACCCTCTTTTTCCTTTCCTTACACTTTGTTCTATTTGAGAAACAAGCTTGAGACTTGTATTTATTTCTTAATTCTGCACTTATGTATGTCGTGGTTGTACACATGACAACTATATTTTGGGGGTTTTTAATAGGGAATAAATTTTCCGCTTTATCTTGTTCTTTTGTTTTTTTACTATTTTCCATTTTTCTTTCATTTTCGTTTGGTTGAGGCTAACTTGTCTTGGTGGGAAATGACAAGTGTCATCACGTCCATTTTTGGGACATGATACTTTGACTTTCCTCTTGTTTCCTCCTTCAACAATTTAATGCCACTTTCCTTGGCATTGTTGATAACTTGTTGTTGTGCAATTGGGTCCTTTTTTTTTCTTGGATCTCAATTCTTCAATAAATTTTTCCTCTAGAATTTATCTAGATTTTGCAATAGACCCTGCATTGACTCTAACATCTTAAAAAACCACTTTGGCTTCTCTGATTTTCGGCTTTGTTGTATATTCTACTCAACCCTCTCAATTTGGATCCTCTAAAGAAAACAACATACCTAAATTATATCAAAATTACACATTTCTATGATAATTTTATAGAAAATTGGTTTAAGTACAGACTTTAGAATTTTAAATGTATGTAAATTATTGAGGTTCAAATTCACTGGTGTAAGCTATTTCTATTTGCTGATTTTGTTTCTTTCTAGGGGTTCATTTGAAAAACACTATAACACTGCAGTACTACACTTTATTTCTTGTTTAGGGAATTCAAAATTAATATATCTACATAAATATAGAAAATTTAACTTATATATACAATGTAATTTTTTGCCGAACCCCCTCCCGCCCCCCTAGATCTGCCCCTGGTTTTGTCCCAACTTTCAAATTTGTCATAGGTGAAATGTTAGGCTTCTTTCTTTCTGTTATCTGGTTGAGGTTTCTTTCCATATATACATTGTGAATTTAATGTTATTTTGCTCTATCTTCCTTCATTTTTACGTGTTAGTATGAGACTGATTCAGTAGAAATAGGTTGAAGAAGTTGAGATTCCATCTTTCTTTACATTGAGCTCTTTTTATAAAGCTATCAATTCTATAAATAAAGCTGGCAGTCAATTAGAGTTCTATTTTTTGTATTTGATTCCTTACGCATTGATCTAATATTTTTTTCATAGGTAGGTGGTCATTTATGTAACCTAATTTGTTATAAGAAGTTAATCCTTTCGACTGCTAATTTAAGATTATTACCCTTTTGAATATACATTTCTGTCAGAAGTTTAGTCTAATTGAGAGATGACTTTGGGCTTGACATTTCATTTTTTGTGTTCTTTTTCGTCTGTGTTACTTCTTTGTAAATTTTGACAGAGCATAAAGTATTAGAGTTCCCCAAGAAGCATACTTGCTCGAAATGGATCAGCAAGGAAATGGACAACCACCAGGTGTTACTACCTCTACTCCAATGCTATATGGTGCTCCATACCATGCTAACCAAGTGGCAGGGCCCTCTCCTCCCATGTCAGCTGGTGCACAAATAGTTGGTCTTCCTGCATCGTCAGGTCAGATGACACAACATCAGCTTGCTTATCAGCACATCCACCAACAGCAGCAACAACTATTGCAGCAACAACTACAAAGTTTCTGGGGAAATCAATATCAAGAAATTGAGCACATTAATGATTTCAAGAATCATAGCCTGCCATTAGCAAGGATCAAGAAAATCATGAAGGTAGATGAAGATGTTAGAATGATATCAGCAGAAGCACCGGCTGTATCTGCTCGGGCTTGTGAGATGTTTATCCTTGAGTTGACACTCCGTGCATGGAACCACACTGAAGAGAATAAAAGGAGGACACTCCAGAAAAATGACATTGCAGCAGCGATAACAAGGACAGACATATTTGATTTCTTGGTTGACATTGTACCAAGAGAGGACTTGAAAGATGAAGTGCTTGCATCATCAATTCCTAGAGGAACCTCCCTGTTGGAGGCCCTCGGCACAATTATTATATGCCTATGCAATCTGCTCCACAAATTGGAGCTTCAGGGGTGTATATGGGGAAGCCTGCTGATCAAGCTCTTTATGGCCAGCATCCCCGTCCTTATATGGCTCAGCCAGTCTGGCCCCAGCAATAGCAACCTCCATCAGATTCTTAAGCATCTGGGGCATCAGATTAATGTGTAAGCAGTCTAATATTTTGCAACTGAGGTTACTCTTTCAGTTTTTCTAATTCACTATGTTTTGTTCCGCCTTCACTTTCCGTGCGTCTGTGTTCTATTGGTTTATTTTTCTAAAACTGGGCTTCCCTTCAATCATCTATGAAAGGTCCAGTTATTAGATGCATTTATCTTTCTGGTTCTGTGATATAATTATATTCTGGCACATCTCTGTTTAAATCCATTTTACAAGGATGGATTGGGGGGAAGCTTCCAGTAATACAATTGTTATTTGCAGTATGGGAAGATGGCCTTCATCAACCTCTTCCATGGTTCCATGGGGGCTTCAAGTTTTCTTTATTATGTGAAAGGTAGATTCAGGGGAAATATTTACTTGCACTTGGTGTTTACACCAAACAGTATCAACTTGCCACAGTTAAGTGTTTTAATAAACCCGCACTGGTGTTTATACCAAACAACATCTAACATACCATAGTTAGGTGTCTTAATCAAGTTACAATATGTACTAATTGTAACTAATAAAAGAGAGATGTTTATGTGCGAACACATGTCATGCATATATTGGGTGCAGACATGCAGTGCAGGTAAGTTTTACCATAGGTCCAGTGTGAAATTTTATCTCATCAAATGTTAATGTGGCAAGGATTTTGGAACATTATATGTTAGCTGGCTTATTTTGTTTATGATAATATTTGTCATCATTATTATTTCTCATCAGAAGCTCTCTTAGCTAACCTATATTTTTATCGTGATATTTGTTACAGTGGACACCAGATGGTAGTCTAAGATGCAAGTACTGGACGATACACTACCAGGATAGCAGATTGCATATTTGAATTCACAATAGGGACATATAGAGAACTAGTTCTTCGGTGTTTCCTACAGTAGCTTAATCATCATATGATGAGCTCAATGTATTGGTAACAAAATGACCCCCTTCTTATTTTTGTGTGTTTCCAGATATGTAGCGGTGTTGAATGTTTTTCTTATATTTTATGGTGGTGAGCTCTTATGGATTGAAAGTAAACCTAAGTCAAGTTTGCTTATGTGAATCTCCTTCCACCTCCCATCTCAACTTATCTCTTCCAGATGTCATCTGCTTTGTTTTAAATTACTGTCATGATTCATGTTGCTTGATTCTGCCATCTGAATGCCGTCATGGCTAGGGAAAGACAACATCGGGGGATGGGTGAATGGTTGTGTTTTAGACTGAAACCATCTTGATTATTTATAATGTTAAACATGCGGGTTATTAATGGTGATATAAATAACATATCAATCGACCTTTGGAGTCTTACCACACCCAAAGAAATATTCCTCAGAGTGTTTCTAGTTCTACACAAAGAGTCTCAAAGAAGAAGTTGTCGAAGCCACAAAGAACTTGTTACTATCAAGTTTTATCAATTCAATTCTTTAGTTTGTAATAATTAGCTTCTTGGCATGGTTCTAAGACATGATATTGCTTACTTTATTTCAGATTGTAGTATGTGTTGTCTTGTTTATTGTAATGGACTTCATTGACTAGGATAGGATTGTGAAGATTAATAGGATAAAGAAAAACACTGTTTGGAACAGTTTGTGTAAGTGTTGCATGGACGGTTGTAAACCTATTTTGGAGTTGGACTCTGAGTTTAGTGGAAGATGCAAGGTGGGTCGTGGTTTTGACTCTATAAATATACCAAGGAGTTTTCCACATGAAATTTTTATGTTGATTTATTTTTCACAATTTTCTTTTACATAGTATTGACACCCAATTTTTACTTTTCTTCTATATTTGGAATATTATTTCCTTAGAGGAAAAGTCTGGACGCTCTATAAATTAAACCCATCTTCTCATACAAAGAATACAAAAAAAATCACAATTTAGACGTTTAAGAATTTTATTCATGGGGAGAATTCTCTCTACAGTTTTTATGATTTTTATTAGTATTATAATATGTAGGTTGTTTGGACAAATCATAATAATATCATTTTAGTATATATATATATATATATTTTCATTTAATTTATCACCATCATAATTTGTAATTGTAAACGCCTTGATTCTTCCGAACGAAACAAGCCCTCTACAATTTACTCTAATTAATTTTTGAGCTACTTCAACTCAAACAATTTGAAATAGTTATTTTATAAAATTAAAAAAATACCTAAAATCAATTTCAAGATAATTTTGTCATATTCTAGTGCATATATATTTCTATAAACATATAATATATATAAATTTATATAGTTTCCACTTATTATTCATATTTGGAAATTAGTTTGTCAAAAATAGTGTTTAGATTAAGTACGCAAAACATTAGTTACTTTGATATAATTAGTGTTTTTCTTTTGAAATAATCAGTGTATGTCTTAACAATTATTTTACATTGTTCATGTTAAACAACTCAATAATTAAATAATATCGAGTTGTCTCATTTGATTTTGGACAAATTCAATCCCAAATTAATTAAAGGGAAAGGGAAAATGGTCTGATATATCCCTCAACTTTGTCATTTAGAGCTGATATACCTCTCATTATAAAAATGGCTCATATATACCCCTACTGTTATACAAATGGCTCACATATACCCTTTTCCTCTAATGGAAGTGAAAATTTAATTTTAGTTTAATTTTTTTAATTATTTTTTAAAAATATAATCCCATATGGATATATTTAATTATCCTCCTCAAACATATATTATTTTTTTAACCTTTTTTTGTTTCAATAATTAATTTAGATTTATTATTTTGATGGTCAAATTTATTTAAGTTCTGCTAATATTCTTGTAAAATTTATTATAGATGACCCAATTTTTTCTTCAAATACAAAAATTAAATTACAATATATCCAAAAAAAATAGTTTTAAATTATAATATAGCCACAAAAAATAGCTTTAATTTTTTTTTGTTTTATGAAAGAAACAATAAAATAAGAATAAAAAACTCAAATAATGATAATCAAAAAGTCAAAAAATAATTTATGTCCGAAAAAATTTAAAATATACCTTAAAATTTGCTAGAAAAATCATATATACCCCTAAATTATTTTTAAAAAAATAAAAGTCAAAAATATAAACTTAAAACTAATTTTTTTCACTTATGTTAAAAGAAGGATATATGTGAGCTCATTTTGTAACGGTAGGGGTATATGTGAGCCGTTTGTATAACGGTAAGGGTATATATGAGCCACTTTCATAACGAGGGCATATCAGCTCCAAATGGCAAAGTTGAGGGGTATATCAGGCCATTTTCCCTTAATTAAATTTGACCATATTCTGAATTCAACGGACTAAAATTATAATTCAATTGGCTAGCTCCTAATATCAATTTTAACTGTAACACCCCGTATTACGCATAATCTATTTCTATTCATATGATACTTGACAAGCCTTATCGTATAGGTGAGGGATTATGTTTCTTATATGATTAGTGTTGGTTTAAACTAGCTTAGAAGGTGATGCGATGCCCTGCATGTTTCAGCATGCATACTCCAAGTTAACCCTGACGTAAGTATTTAAACTCGAGATAGTAAGGTGATAACTGAGTTTAAAGTTCAAATTTAAGTGCTAAGCTAAGATAAAATGAATTTATATTTAGAGAATGGATTAAAATAAGTGAGTTTCTTGGTTGACTTAACAAAGCTAGTAGGTGACAAGTAGGTGCATCACCTACTTAGAATTATTGATTAGCTTAAATGACCAAGTAGGTGCATCACCTACTAAGATTCTTTTGAACATATTGGGTCAAGTACACTACCACCTACTTGCACTAATTCTGGCCCAACTTGAGTAGAAGAATAAGGGATAAAATGGACAGCCAAGGCCCAATAACCTTAAGACCAAAAAGACCCATGTGAAAAGTCCAAGTAGGTGGATCACCTACTTGATAAATTATGGCCCAAACTGAAGGATAAAGTAGGCCAAAGGAGGTCCCTTTAAAAGGGATTGATATCAACTATTTTCAACCATTTAAACTTTGTAAAACAATATGATTTTTAAAGTTTTATCTCTTCTCTCTCTTGGCTTCATATAGCACCCATAAAATTCCTTCTAGGGTTCTTGAAGAAACCTTCATATTTTCAAACCAAGGTAAGAAAAACACTTATGGATTTAGCTTAATCCACCCATAGAAGACTAAGAAAACTTGTTATTCATGCTTAATTATAAGTACAAGACAGAAGTTCCCACAAGCTACTCCTCATTTTTCTTCTTGGTTATTAAGAAACTTTTCTCTTCTTCTTTGGTTTAAGTGTGAAGGGAAGTTGAAATTCTAGAAGAGTTCAAGTTGTAAGGAGAAGTTGCAGAAATTGAGGTAAGGTGACTGCTCCATTTTTTCATCCTTATGTATGAGTTTGAGTGAGGAATTATGGGTGTGTTGTCATTAAGAACTCAAGGGGTGGTAAGTTCAATAGTTTGTTGTATGATAAAGAAAATTTGGGACTATTTTATATGTATTGTTGTTGGGGCAGCTTGGGTAATCTTGGGAAAGGATATATAAGGTATGTATGGGACAGAGAAGAAGGGTGTGGTGATACACATTTGTTTAAGGGTTGTATGGGCTCATTGTCCGTCAAAGTTAGCTACTGTTTTATGAGGCCCACAGTGTGATAGCTGCTAATTTTAGTTTATCATGACTTATTGTAGATTAACACCTAAAAGGGGCAGCTGGATTGAGATAGTTGTATGGGTCAGAGAATAAGGTATGTAAGACTATTCGATTCCATATTCCTTGACATGAAATCTGATATTTGCGATTATTATAAAAAAAGTGACTTTCATAAGTTTTATCCCTAGTAAGGGAAACATAGTGGCAGCATACGATCTCCAAATAGCTAACAATATTTTTGTCCATCTTTCGAGTGTGTCAAATTACTTCATTATATGTTCATTACTCTACATTTGTGTAATTATTATACTCCTATGTGCTAGTATAGAAATGGTTTTGTAACAGTAAGCTTGGTGAATTCTCGTCTTAGTTAATTAAAGTCAATTGTGTCATTTAAGCTCATAAGTAATGTATTGATGTTACATAGCTCCTTATGTCATTGTTACTACCTTGAAGTTATTATTCTCATGTCATCTACTACTGATATGTAGTTCCAAATCTCAAAATTGATTATGACCACCAAAACAACAATCTCAAAAATTAAAGAAACTAAGTGAAGCAATCTGTATAATTATGGGTGGCATCCCAGGGGCAAATGTCTAGCATGGGTCGATTCCAATTGGTATAGAACAGTGGCAGCTTAGGGACGAAAGCCTAGCATGGGCCGATCCCAATTTATGTAACTATGAGGATAGCATCTCAGGGTTAAAATGCATGGCATGGGTCATCCCCTTCTACCTAGTCATTTGTATCACATACCTTACAAAGATTATAAAGTACAGAAAAGTAAAGAAAATAATGTAACATCCATGATCCACAAGAGTAAACAATGGTGGTCTTCTGTTGTGGTCTATTCACTTATATATTGATACTTGATTACAGTTGAGCCTTTGTTTTACATATGTTATTGCTTTACATATTCATTATATTTTTTTCGTACTGGCATCCCTCGTGGTAAACGCTGCATTTCATGTTGCAGGCACATGTACTCTAGCTAGTAGACCTCTTTAGTGGGAGCACATGTACTCAATTGCTATTGGTGAGGCTCCAAGTTGATTTGGGGCTTACCGAGTCTTTGGCACCTATTTTATTACTGTATGATAGTTAAGGGTAAGGTGGGGCCTTGTCCCACTCTAAACTAAGGTTTTATTTGCTTTAGAGGCATTGTAGACTGATGTATATAGTGCAGTTGTGTCCTATCTCTTAACAAGTTGTGGCCTTAACGACCAAGTCTTGTAACTAAGTTTGGGGTCTACTTATGTTGGTTCATATCGGTGCATCCTATATGAACGTGTCACAACTTTAAAATTGGCATAGTTATATGCATAGTAAGAAGATGTTATATGTTGGTTCTCTCGGGCCTTTAGGGCATCGGG